AACCAGAAAAAGCATAGTATGACCCCTTTAAAACCGGTCAATATTTGTTAGTACTGGAGACCTGTTGTTTTGTTTTTCATCCCACTGTCTTCTTGTATACTGCAGTCAAATTGTCAGGTTTTTATTGTAATATATTAGAATATTCTGTGCTTGTTATATGATAATTGAATTGATCAACTTCAACATTTTACCCAATTAAGTTTTTTTTTTCCTGTATGAGACAGCTCCAAAACTAAAAGACGGAAGATCTTCAAAATTAAAATTCAAGAAACTCTAAATGATTCTCTCCACCCCATTGGACATGTGACAAACTAAAAATATTACTTGTGTTGCATGATGTCCACTCTATTGCAAACTTTTGTTACTTCTTCAAATTTATGAATATTAAAGTTCACATATCCTCCTCCTCTTCAACCAGTTTAAATAAGTCTCAGAGCTCCTCAAAACATGTGTGTCAAGTTTCTTCTTCTAAATCCACTCTGATTCTGTATTTGATCATGCCTATTAACACCTCTATTTCAGCCCTGCCCATAACAGGCTGTTTCTGTCTGTACCTTTAAATATGTAAATGTTTAACTCCCCCTCTCTGGAAGGGCTTGGGTGTCTCGGGCTTTCTCGCTCCATGTCCTATAGGCAGACTCAGAGGGCAGAACAAACACCTAGCTGTCCCATGTTGCACCTATTAGAGTTAGAGAAACATGGAGAAGTGTATTGTAAATAATGTGTGACCTTTAAAAAAATTAATGAGTAACGACCACAGTAAGTTGAGTTCATAAAAATAAAAGTAACTTCTGTTAACTGGCATTGGCATTTCATGTAGACTTTTTTTGTAGTCTTATGGTACTAATGTGCTTCAGGAGAAGAGTAATAATACAGTAAATATAAAACTATACTCATACATTCAAGAATTCAAGATCCTTCTTCTCACCTACAAAGCTCGAAATGGCCAGGCACCATCCTATCTTAAGGAGTTACTAGTGCCGTACTGTCCCTCGAGAGCGTTGCGGTCCCGGAGTGCAGGCCTGCTGGTGGTACCTACAGTATCTAAGTGTACTATGGGGGGTAAACCCTTCAGTTATCGGGCTCCTCTCCTCTGGAACCGCCTTCCAGCCGGGGTCCGGGAGGCAGACACAGTCTGTATTTTTAAGAATAGACTTAAAACTTTCCTTTTTGATAAATCTCATCGTTAGTGCTGGTGTAGACCAGCTCTTAGTTATGCTGCTATAGGCTTAAACTACCGGGGGAACTGGCACCTTGAGCTCCTCTCTCTCTCTGTCTCTCCCCCCACCCCCTTGCTCCCTATCCCTCTTCCTGCATCTTGTCCCATCTCTCCCCCTATCCCTTTCCAACCTCGGCGCAGTCTACGCCTGTGAAGGCTGTTTCGTCATGAGCCGGGGATCCGGCCGAAGATTTTTGCCTTTTAATAAGGCGGTTTTTTCTTACCACTGTAACTTTTGCTGCTTTGCTAAAGTGCTCATGATGGATAGGCCGGGTCTTTGTAACATAACAATGAGTAAGGTCTTTTACCTGCTTTTTGTAACATAACAATAAGTAAGGTCTTTTACCTGCTTTTTGTAACATAACAATGAGTAAGGTCTTTTACCTGCTTTTTGTAACATAACAATGAGTAAGGTCTTTTACCTGCTTTTTGTAACATAACAATGAGTAAGGTCTTTTACCTGCTTTTTGTAACATAACAATGAGTAAGATCTTTTACCTGCTTTTTGTAACATAACAATGAGTAAGATCTTTTACCTGCTTTTTGTAACATAACAATGAGTAAGGTCTTTTACCTGCTTTTTGTAACATAACAATGAGTAAGGTCTTTTACCTGCTTTTTGTAACATAACAATAAGTAAGGTCTTTTACCTGCTTTTTGTAACATAACAATGAGTAAGGTCTTTTACCTGCTTTTTGTAAAGTGTCTTGAGATAACACTTGTTATGAGTTGACGCTATACAAAAATGAATTGAATTGAATTGAATTGAATTGAATTCATCTTAAGTTGGGGGAGAGCATTCATTTTATATATTGTTTTTCCGTTAACATCAAAGTGTGATTCTCTTGACAATGCTTCCAAATGATTTATTGTTACATACATTTCTCTACTAAAACATTAAATGGTGGCAAAGAATTTCTCAAAGGTAAAAACAGATAATGGGTTATTTGTCTAACAGAAATAAAGTAAATACCGCCATACACCACCTCTCTCAATTGGTACAATGCTTTAAAACTGGATATTTTTCCTTTAGGTTTTTTAAGAAGCCGAGTTGAAAACCTGAAGGTTTGAATCAGAGAAGGAAGTGAAATTTGTTTTTATACAAGGCAGCAAAGATTTGTCAGTACTAAAATTCTGCACTAAAAAATCATCTGCACAACAGTAAAGGTAAAAATCAGCCCTTTCACCAGCAGAGGGCGCTTGTGTTTTATAAAGTTTTTTTTAAAATTGGTCATTGTAAGGTCATCAAAAACACTTTTAGAAACAACTTGTTTTACTTGTATGAAAACAAATTTCACTTAGTTCTCTGCTTTCTTCATATTAAACGCCTCATTGTGGTTTCTTCATGTCAAGATTTTACTGTGAAACAGCCAGAGGAAATAGAATTCAGTTTGGCTGCAGGATGTTATCAGTGAACAACAACGATACCAGGAAGTTAGAACTGAACCGAACTGAAAGTTTAACACGCTCGAGTATGAAGAGAGAGTGAAATGAAGAGTTGAGTGTAAATCCTGGTTGTTCAAAGTGTAAACATGATCAGCTGTACTCACCACTGTTTGCAGAGACTCTGCTGTGTCGTTGACAAAGATTGGATGAAGTTAGTGTAATTTCTTTGAAGAGAAACGGAGACCTTTCTGGACGGCTGCTTGGCTGACACCCTGACAAACTTTAAGTTTAATTTCTTCAGAGTGACGCTGAAGCTCTCCTCACTCAGCTGTGGCTCCACCTTGTTAGCTGTTACTTGAGTTGCATCATCATAGTGAATATTATTATTATTATTATTATTATCAAAGCAGAGAGGCAATGAGGCAGCAAGGGTTTGGATAAATGTTGGTTTGTTTCTTTAACCCAGCAGTTTAATTTTTCAACTTTATTTTGATTTCTACAGGTATGTTTCCTGTTTCCTTCTGACAAGTTTCAAACAAAAAGTGTGTAGCCTCTTGAATGAAACTCAGAGTTTTGTGATAACGCTCGTTCTTGAATCAAAGTAAATGTCATCATGTATTCAGATCACTTGTAGAAAAATAGGTGATGACCGTAGTTTTATGTTTCTTTAGACGGGAACACAAACTTTTAACTCGACTGCAGCTCTGACAGTTAAAGGAGGAACATGCGACTTTTTGATCCAGTAGACGTCGCCCTCGAGCTCCAGCATGAAACCAAAACAAACTGCTGTTAGGCCACGCCTCCTCCACACTGAAGCCTCTGCTCTGCTCCAGAGACACACCTCCAACCCCTCTTCTCTCTAATTCACACGAAGGAGTTAAGCTCAAGCGGCAGACAAATTTGTCCTTTTACATTTCATGTATACTGACACAGAATGAGCGTGATCTAAAAACTCTTACTAACATCCAAATAATCAGTGAGTATGTTCTTCTTCTTCTCTCTAGTTCTTGACTAAAACAGCTTTTATACACAAGGGGAGGAGCCGGCCGTCCCGTCCATGTAAACACGGCTCTGACAACAACACAGCCAGCGGGACTCGAGCTTCTCCCTCATTGTAGACAGTCAGGACTCAGAGACACATTTACACAGGACAGACTGGATTTATGATATTTATGTGGAACATGTCGCACATTCATCCTTTTCATTTTAGGAATGAAACGTTTAATTTTGTATTTCCCTACTTTGCTCCGCCTCTTACCCAATGCTGCTGCCTTCGCCTTTTTAAATGGCTAACCATGTTCGCTATCTGACCTGTTTTTTATGGATTGTATTTATTGTCCATTGGGCTTTGTTGTATGTTGATTGTATAAACGTATGTTTTCTGCTGACTGCAAAACAAAGTGCCCTCTCACAGGATAATAAAAGACACCTTGAGCTCTCGCTGCCGCTCTGTTTGTGAGAATCAGGGTGTGACTTTATGTAAGAGGCCTTTTACTACATTGGCTTACTCTGCAGTGTGAGTTTAAGAGTTTAATTCCAGATGCAAGAGTAAAATGTTTGGGTCTGCAGAAAACAGTTATCTTAGAGCAGGAGTTCCCAAAATATTTTTTTAAAGATTTATTTTTGGGCTTTCTACGCCCCTATCTGGAGACAGGACAGAGATCGGGGAGGGGGGGGGGGGGAGACAACATGGAGCCACAGGCTGGACCTGAACCCGGGCCGCCCGCCTGGAAGACCACAGCCTCCGCACATGGGGGTGCGTGCACCAACCTCCAGGCCACCAGCACCCCAGAGTTTGCCATGCCATGGACCCCCATATAGCATCAACATCTGGTGGGGACAACTTGCAAAGTTTCATAAATTCCTTTTATGTTACGGTTGCAAGGATCATACATTAAACACACCACTTCTTTATAGGTGACTTTGGGGGTCACGCATCACGTAGAGAGAACTTCAATGATTCCCCACCAGCCTCGACTTTATCTTTTGTTATTGTTTTGATTTAGAGCCCCCTGGTGGTGGAATCTACATACTGTGTGTTTCACTTTATTACTATGGTTTTATTGGAAATTAAACTATTTTTGTATATATTTTTTACAATAACTGACAATACATTATAATAGAGTTGTTTTAAACTTGTGTTATTTTCATTCAAAGGCATTTGGGGGGCTCACAGTCCTGACCCACGCTTTGGGAACCAATTCTTAAAAGAGAGCGATTAACAGCTGTTTCTGGTTTTTGACTCTCTCTTTCTTGTCTTGTCTTTGCACCCCCCCCCCCGTAGATTAATGGAATGCTACTGATTAAAATTAATAAAATTATGTACACCTGCAACTCGTGAAAAATTAAGGAAAAATTACACGGATTTTATTTTGAAAGCGGTAACCGGAAACGTCAATAATTCCTGTCGTACTAACTTTATTCTGAAGGAAGCTGCGTTTCGACACAAACTTCTCGTTCTGTTCATTTTCTAAACCATGACTCCGGTTCTTTAAGGGGTGACAGAGGTTTAAATGTCCGTCTGAGGGGTCTCAAACACCGGACTCCTCTGCTGGCCGAGCCGCTCTGACTCTACAGCCTCCGTTAGCCTGCGGATGCTAACTCCAGCTAGCCCTGAAGCTACCGCAGCTTCGTAGGTGAGGGGGCAGAAGTCCTGCTTGTTTCTCGGTTGTTTTTGTCGTCCCATCGGTGGAAACCCCGCACGGAGAGGGATGTGGAGGGTAACTCTGAAAGCGTTCGCTGTCTTGCTGTTGGCCTGGTTCTTCGGCAACTTTGTTCTGGGCTGGTTTCAACAAAACAACGTAAAAACACAACCGGAGCACAAAGAGCAGCCGAGCACCGCCACAGAGAGTCCGGCGGACCAGAGCTGCTTCTGCCATGTAAGTCACCCCCCCTAACTTAGCTCCCCTAAACATTAAAGACACGGAGATGTTTCTGACGGGGGTATTTATTTTTATTCTATTGTATTTTAAGCTTTAAACGACGCGACAACAGCGACCGTTCAGGAAATCTTCTAGCATTTTCTACTGTCTACACTCTGTGACGTCACAATGTGATGCAAGTTAGCGACAACACTACCTGCCGTAATAATTAAAAAATATAACTAAGCTATTCATTTAACATGAATTTAATTTGACACAAGTTCTTAGCTCTTGCAATATTTTTATCTGATAACATTTGAGTCTCTTGGGCAACTTAAAAAAAAAAACACGTCAATGATTTAAATTTTTCTGTCAATGAAACTATTATTATTTTTATCGTTTGTGTTTTTTAACGAGTTTTGTTTTTCTTATGGCCCCTAATCAACTGGTATGACTGACATGTCCATAATCAAATAACATTTCTTTATAAAAAAAAAAAAAGAATTAACGTTTATTTCCAATGTATGTGTTTCATCATTACTCTTTTAGCCGTTTGTTGGATGAGCTTTAAATAAAAAATAAAATAAAAAAATAGATTTTTTTTCATTTACATAAAACATGAGCTAAAATCAAACCTGATTATTTGTATTTCTTAAATTTAATCTTTTTCTTTTTTGAATGATTAACGTCTGTTAATCAAGCTATAGATATTAACGTGCGGGAAATATTCAACACTTTAATTTTAAACGCGTAACTTGTCTGTAACATGATTTAGTTTGCAGTTTTCTGCCGTTTCCCCTTTCTAGTGTTTTCCGTGTTTTTGTGAGAGTCTCACGGTGTCGAGGCTTCACAGTTAAAGCAGCGGTGACGTCACTACAAATAAAAATACGCAGCAACAAAAAAACAAAATCAAATCTCACGTCAGGAAGTCAAACACAGATTTAGATATTTTAGCGTAACTGCTGTTTTATCCATTACTGAGAAGAAAAGCGTGGTGTAACGTGATTGGCTGTCGCAAAGCTTCCGCCTTTCTTCCCTCTCATGGGAGTTGTAGTCTTTTGCGCTGTAGCTGTTAAACGCTCATATCGGTGTTGTTCCTGGAAGAAGACTACAAACCGTCAGCGGGGCGGGGTTTATTTTGACAGCTGTTTGTTTGTAGGCGGGGTCACCATCAAGGCATGGGACTGGAGGCGCGTAATGACACTTCAGCCCACAGACAGAGCTGCTGCTGCTGGGACACATGAGCACAAAGTCCGCGGAGGGGAAATTAAATTAAAAATATAAAAATATCAAGATAAAACCGGAAGTAGCAGCATGCTGAGAGGGATTTGCTTCTTCCTGTCTTTCCTGGTGCTTCGGGGACTGCTGCACTCAGAGGTCAGCTGTGGTTTTGTGTGTGTGTTTTTACCTGACTGAGACTTTCAAGTGGTTTCTGTGTGAAGCCAACAACTGAGTGTTTATAATACATAAAAAAGTTTAAGTAAGAGACGAGGAGAGGGGACGTTTAAAATACTTTCATGTTGAAGCTCTTACTGCCAGTTCAGCATCTGCAGCGGTTACCATATGCTTGATCAAAAAGCTTAAAAAAGAGGGCGGTGCTTCATTTAACAAATCTGCAATTTCCTCATTATTATTTGTTTATTAGAGGAACTTATTTGAAAGAGAATCAGAAGCTCAAACTGACTTTTGATTGTCTGACAGTTTCTCATTATCAAGTTTGTCAAATGAACGAGAGAAATATGAGTTGGTAACGTGAGGGCTTAAGAAAACACACACTCGTGGTTATTTTATGCAGCATTTCTATTCAAATAAAACTATTTACACAACCAAAAGAGAGACATAAATGACGACAAAGCTTCTAGTAGAGTTGAGTTAGTACTCAGATATACATCAACGACTAATCAGATTCATTTATGTGTTAGTTTGGGATTTCTCATCATTATAACCATCTGAGTTCAGACTGACAGCAACGCATATTTTTAAAGAATTGTTTATCTTGTTTGAGTTGAGTTGATTCTTAATCACGTCTGAGTGCAAATCTAAAGGTAGACGATTTTTTAAATGCAGATTTTTTTGACCCAGAAGAGTCATTAAAGGTCCAATCAATAAGATATGAGAGCAGTTATCAGGTCAACAGGTGTTGCAGCGATGGAAGCGGTCAAGAGAAGTGGTTCAGATAGAAGTGATTGTACCCGACCTAAAAAGCCTCTGCATGTTTCTAATAAGCTCCACGAGCAGAAACGTGCTCAAACTAGGATCAATATTGGAGATGCTTTTGAAAAATGGAGAGAGGTTAGAACACAGAAAGGTTTACAGACCCATGCAGAGCTGGATAAACACTGAAGCTTCAGAGTCCACCACATGGTGACCTGAGTGAGCATGGACTCTAGAGAGGAGGGGGGGGGACAGCTCTCTATAATGTTTAGAATCTGGTGTCAGAGTTACAGATCGCTCCTTTAAATAGAACAAAAACATTTTTAATTTCTCACCAGACTTTGTCCTGATATTATAGAATTTATCACCTAAATAAGCAAACACACTTTGACTCTGTTTTTAAGGCAGTTAAACCCGGTGTGTGTACAGAGGACTGAGGCGTCATGTTGTAGGTGATTACCTCGTTAAATCAATTAAACCTCCTCACTACAAACAGGTGGCGTTAACAGCTCCACCTTTAATGCCCCTCTGTGTTTACAGAACGCCTTCCTGTTCTCAGATTTGCATTGTTCTGGTTGTTTGTTTGCTGCGCAGGTCAAACACGCTTGTCTCAGTTTAACATCCCGGCGTGTACAGCTCAACGTTTGTTATCGACCAGGTGGTACGTCTGAGTCTCGTAGGCCCTGTGGGGTTCAGGTGACAGCACAGGTGGATGTATTTTGTTTGGATGTGCAGGGAAGGTGGTCTGTGAAACTTTATTTAAACAGCACAATCCGTACAGGATGTTAGGGTAGAAAATTGCTGGAGGTTTCTGTCTGTTTAGGGACGTTCTTTTTTTTTTGCTCATGGTGGATTTACAAGGTTTCTGTCAAGTCTCAAACTTCCTTTTTTTTTGTTTTTCTCCTGCAGCTGACCGGAGTCCTGGACGACTGCTTCTGTGACGTGGAGAGCATCGACGTCTTCAACAACTTCAAGATTTACCCTCGAATCAAGAGGCTGACAGAGAAGGACTACTTCAGATACTACAGAGTAAGAGCCGATGTAAAGCGCCGTAACTAAGCTCAGCTGTCATCACGTCTCTCTTGTATGAAGCGTTTGTGCGCTGAGAATAAAGCGCACGTCCGTCCTGTCTCCATGACAACAGTCTGTTGACAACAGCCGCTGTATGACCGACACTTCTCCGTTACTTTTTAATTAATTTGAGACACGGAGCGAAGAGGATGTGGGTGCGAGACTCGATCCGTAGACGGTCGGGGAATGTCATACATTTGGAAAAGAGCGCCGGTGACGTCGACAGCGCCTTTCTGAAAAGTTGAACGATTTCCAACTTGAGCGCTCGGAGCGGCCGCACAGAAAAATGCAGGGCACTCAAAAAAAAAAAAACGTTTTCTCCAGGCGGCTGCTTTCTGCTGTGAACGCTCTCTAGTCTCTGCTCATTGAAAACAATTATAATAATAATAATATAATAAAAAAGACGCTAGTTGTACACAGGGCCTTACTCTATCTATCTCTTTTTGTACCTGTGTCAGGTAATGAGATGTACTTGGTTTATTTATCATCCGTTGTTTGTCGACTTCCTTCTTTACGTTTCCTTTAGCTTCTTAAACAAATTCATTTCCTCCAGTGGAGCTTCAAGTTTTCTTACCTCATAAAAAGATTGAAAAACAGATTTATTATCAACAGTGATCATTTCTGATTTGCTTCTTCTTTTAGTTTGAGGAACTGCGGCTCTGCTTATTTGCATCTTCTTCCTCATGTAGTCTCTGTTCGCTCTCTTGACCGTGGACGAGTTCTCTGAGCTGGACTTGTTGTTTGATTCTTCGTACAATCAGGGTGAAAATAAGTAAATCAGAAAATCTCATCTCGCTTCTGTCCGTGAAAAAGACTTCCACATATCTCTGTGTGCCTGTCTGTGAACAGCACTGAGAAAAAGGACACTCCCTGATATCATGGCTCATGCTAATTCTAAACAATAAAACCAGTCTGTGCAGATGCTTGGCTGTGCACTTTGTGTCCACCTGCTGCACCTGCAGAGAGCAGATGTCATGTCCAACACAACACAGCAGTTTTATCATTCAGGTCCATTCAGCTGTTTTTAATCTGTCTCGGCGGTGTTACACAACAGGAAGCCTCTCTGAAATATTATGAAATACTTCTGCAACTTTAGTCATGAACATTTGCTGAGACAGTTTGAAGCACAGTTTGTCAAACTGGTATTCAAGTCTCCAGTTGTAGCCAAGCAGCAACCTCCGGTGTTGAAACATGAAGCCCATGCAGAGGTGTAAAATCCTGCAGTTCCTCGAGTGTCCACTAGAGGCTGGCTGCAGAAGCACAGGAAGTCACATACACACCCATTCTAAAAAGTCTGTTTTTACAGCAGAGATGAACATGTTTACAGCCTGGTTCAAAAAACCAAATAGGTGTGATTAGCTCATGTCTGGATGGACACACACTGTACGGGGGGGTGAATGTTTTGATGACTCATCAGTTTTGATTTGATGAAGGATAAGAGTTATTCACAATAAGGCGTGTAGCTGACCTGATTGACAGGCGGGCGCGGTGTAACGGTTTGTCAGGAGGTTTAAAACCCGCCTCAGCTCCAGCTCTGAGTTTGTCGTCACACTCGTCTGTGTTTGATCACTAACTCTTTTGTAAGTTTGTATGATTTTCTCTTTTTGCTCTTCAGGTGAATTTAAAGCGACCGTGTCCCTTCTGGCCGGATGACGCACAGTGTGCCATCAAAGACTGCCATGTGGAGCCCTGTCCAGAGGTAAGACCTCAACTACACCTCCACAGGCTTAACAATGCAACTTTTTAAGACACTTAAAGGTCCAGTCAGTGAGATGTGTAGAGAGTGAAATCATGAAGTGACCTTACTATCTGATCATTAATGAAACATGCTATGTTGAAGTGCTGGCTTCTCTGACAACAATGCAGCAGCCAGTATGTCCTCCTTCTAACTTTAGATTCTGCTCCTGAATGCTCTGGATTTGTTTGGACCAGAGAAGGTAGATTGTGGTTCTGCTTATGTCAGTACTCTTATTGTTTGTTTGTTTGTGTTTGTTTTGTTTGCAGAGTAAGATCCCAGTGGGCATCAAGTCTGGAAACTACAACAAGGTGAGACCCGACTTTAACTTCACTTAAACATTTTTGTAACTCTGATTTCGGAAACAAAACAAAATATTTTAAAAGGCCCCTCCCATCATATGTCAGATTGATTTGAATTTTGACTCGCAGGTCTGGCTCATTTTGCTCTAGGAAAAAAAAGCCTCTTTGGACCATCACACTCTGCCATGATGGATTTTCCACCATTTTTACTGTTTTAAAAATCACATTTTTGACACCTCCTCCTAAACCATAGGTCCAGTTGTTACCAAATTGGCTGTGGATGCTCATTGGACCAAGCGCATTAAATATTGTATCAAGGTTGTTGATATCTTATTTAGTTTACAAGATACTGACCAATAATAGTAAGTACTTTGACATGGGCGGAGCTTATCAGAGAAATGGCCATAACTCATTAACTATTCGTCCAATCATCATAAATCTTAGCACAGATGTTCAGGGCGAGACTGGTAATGGGCAATTAAAAGCATTTTGATCCTGACCCTTAGGGGGGGCCAAAAATACCAAAAATGTGTACACCAATATTGGGGCACAGATATGTTATTGCTGTCTTTAACATGTCTGGCTTCTTGAAGGTAACAAGGGCTTTCTCAGAGTTTATTTATCCTACCAATAGGAACCTAAAGAGATCCTCGTAATCCCACAGTAAGATCCTCCTGACTTCACTGACGTTCCTTTTATTGATTAATAAAATAACGTGAGGATAACTTTATACAATCGCTGTCGTTAAAGTGATACAGAATATTCCCAGAATAGATGTTTAATTAACGATTTGAGAAGCTGTCGGCTGTAAACACAAACTGACTTAATGAACAGCTGCTTTTGTTCCAGCACTTTCCGTCTCATCAGCTGATTCAGTAAACACACACACACACACACACACACACACACACACACACATACACACTGACTGTAGAATGTCAACGTGCTCGTCTTATCAGGTCTGATAGTTTCCACGTAGACGCAGAGTGCTGAGTGTTTGCTGCTCCTGGCTCTCGGCCCCGTGTTTGTCTTTAATGACCCCGAGTGTTCGGACATCTGCACTCGTCTCAGTCGTGTCCGTTTAATTGACCAGCAGCCAGGAAACGTGAACATGTGACCCCTCAAGCAGTGTGACAGGAAGTCTCAGAGTGCAGGAGCGTAATTACAAAGAGGCGCTCCTGGTGTTCGATTAAATTCACTGCATTTACATTTTTTTATTTTTTTTGGATCAACCAATGAAGTATCTGACCACGCCTCCTCGCTCAGGTCTGTTTCTGAGTCGCTCTGAGAGTGTTTACTAAGGGGGGCGTTTTCACATTAGGCACGATTGATTTTTACCGTGCTCGACCACGATTCCTCCCCCCCTTCCCCGCTGCTCTGCATTCACATTAGTAACATCGCTCTCGCACCCGAGGACACTCACGTCGATACGCAGTCTGAAACAGCAGGGGGCAGTATGCACGTAGTTGGTTTGCATATCCGCCAAAAAGCAGAAAGAATAAGAAGTAACCATGGCAACCACTCGCAGACTGAGCCCATCCTGCTAACTGTGGATGTTTTAGTTTTTTCTGAGACGCCAACGGTTTTTGAAACGTCAGGAACCGTTTAGAACGACGTCATAGAGCGGTCCACTTCCTTGTTTGAGCATGTTTGCGTTCACATCTCCCGCGGACCGTACTCGGGTACACATGAAACGTGCCTCTTCAAGTGGACTCGGGCAGGGTCCCGGAGTACCCGGACTTTGTGGTCAAGCGTACTCAGATCACGTTTTTAATAGTTTGGAGTTTAAATGTAAATCTGTGTAGACATCTCAGTGTGTCCCTCTCACTCTCTGCGTCTGTCTCTGTGTCTGCAGTACACCCAGGCGGCGAACACGATGCCGGACATGACGGACTGTGAACAGGCCAAAGAGCTGGGCGCCATCAACAGCACCCTGAGGTGACAACACAGGCACCGTCGGCTGTCGGGTCTTATCTGCCGACAGCTTCTTTTTCAAAATGCAAAGCAGCTTCAGCGTCTGATAGTAACCAGGTCAAACATTTACAAAACGTCTGAGAGGCTGCTGGTCGCTTCCCAGCGCTCAGCTGACCGACCTTCACTGCAGCGTGGGAGGAGAATGAGTTTTAACGTTCAGAGTGGGAAAATGAAACTACAGATGCATCACTCTGACTCTTTTCTGCGTATCACTCTTAACATGCTGCTGTGTCACACTTTCTCCTCTTTTGGTCGCTGAAGTTGTTGTCGTTTCCTGTTTCAGCAACCAGACTAAAAAGGCGTTTGCTGACTGGGCGAGACACGACGATGCTCAGGACCATTTCTGTGAGCTGGATGGTGAGACTTCACACCGCTCGCACAAAACTTTGATCTACAACAACATATTGTAAAGAAAGCGCCGCACACTAAAGGCCAGAAATCTATCATGGATGTTCTAAGTCTCCTCCTGACCTCTGACCTTGAGTCTAATGCCAATTAAATGAGGTTTTCTTCTAGCTCTGTTCTGTGGATATTAAAGTCAGTTTTTTTGTGTCGGCGTCTGTGTGTGTTTGTGTTTGTGTGTTTTAGATGAAACCTCTCCAGATGCCGAGTACGTGGATCTGCTGCTGAATCCGGAGCGCTTCACCGGGTACAAGGGTCCTTCAGCCTGGAGGGTCTGGAACAGCATCTACGAGGAGAACTGCTTCAAGTGAGACACACACACACACACACACACACACACACACAAAACTCACAGGAACATGAAGGACAACAGCAGCGGAAACGACATGTAATGTTTTTGTTTGTGTTCAAAGAAGCGACGTCGTTTTGTTATCTGTTTGAAAATGTTCATCATGGATCGTTTGAATATCCTCCTCCTGCCGTCTGACTCTGTGATGAGTTAATTATAAAGTGTTGTTTACTTTGTGTGCAGGCCCAGATCGGTGTACAGACCTCTGAACCCTCTGGCTCCCAGCAGAGGTGAGTTTGACTTTCATCAAATTCAAATATTTGTTGTTGTGACCTTTCTGCTCAGGAATATTCTACAACCTTCTCAAAGGAGCAGTATGTAACTCTGACACCTAGTGTTTAAAATGGATACTGCAGTCTAATTCTAACATCATATAGAGCTGCCCCCCCCCCCCCCCAGAGTTGATGCTCACTCAGGTCACCATGTGGTGGACTCTGAAGCTTCAGTGTTTATCCAGCTCTGCATGGGTCTGTAAACCTTTCTGTGTTCTAACCTCTCTCCATTTTTCAAAAGCATCTCCAATATTGATCCTAGTTTGAGCACGTTTCTGCTCGTGGAGCTTATTAGAAACATGCAGAGGCTTTTTAGGTCGGGTACAATCACTTCTATCTGAACCACTTCTCTTGCCCGCTTCCATCGCTGCAACACCTGTTGGCTGCTGCATTGTTGTCAGAGAAGCCAGCACTTCAACATAGCATGTTGCCTTAAGATACCTTTATCATCTCACTGACTGGACTGGCTGAATACTTAAAGCCACATCGTTATTAAATACTTTTTACTTCAATGCTTTCAGAAGCGTGTGTGTGTTTACAAATGTCAGAGATCTAACACAGCTCTGTTCTCTCTCTCTCTCTTTGTTTCTGTTCTCAGGAGACGACGACGGTGAGTAAAAACCTAAATGTCTCGTGTGACTTTATTCTTTAGTCGTTTCGTATAAAACTCTGATCTTCTTCTTTTGTTTGTCACACCCGTCGTGTAGCAGGAGAGGGTTTCTACAACTGGCTGGAAGGTGAGATCCTCCTCACGCTTTTCTCCTTTCTCTCCGTCTCCTCACAAACATTTCATCCTTTACTGAAGTCGAAGCCGCTGAATGAAGCTGCATCTTCAGTGAGGAAAGACAAGTTTAGCATTTTCTATTTGGTGGTAACGAGTATGATAAATAATGATTCTGTAGGTTGAGAAACATCCTCAGACACAATGTAAACATGCACGCCGTGTTTCCTGTCATCCTCCGCGGCCTCGCTGTGTGAAGAGTCGAGCTGCAGCTCTCTTATTTCCTCTCTGGTTTATTTCCTTATCGTCATCGCTCGGCTTGTCGGCCATGGCAAAAAGGCGGGAGGAGTCAGAAGTTGCAGAATGTAAACGGATAATGTATCACAAAATCTTAGTGTTTATCATCATTAGTGAACATGTGGGTTAACGAAAGCAGGATGTGGTGGGAGGTGTCAAAGAGTGCGCCGCTAAGAGAGAGAGAGAGAGAGAGAGAGATTTAAACGCGTCTCTTTGTGAACTCTCTCTGCAGGTCTGTGTTTGGAGAAGAGAGTTTTCTACAGACTCATCTCAGGCCTCCACAGCAGCATCAACCTCCACCTGTGTGCCGAGTACCTGCTGGACGGTACGACTCACTCTTCTCTATAAACATAAAGTCTGTCAAACATTAGAGCAGGTCGGGTCACGCTCGGGGACTTCAAGAGGATTCATCTCACTTTTATTTTGTAGAGGAATAAATCTCAAAACGTCGTTAGAAAGTGGTTTCGAAAAACTTCCCTGTTGAGCTTCTTCCTCTTTTTGTGAATGGAGTCTGGTGTGTTTGTAGAGGGAGATGTAACAGCTGTTTGTGGTTTTAAAGAATCCTCTTCCTCTGTAACAAAAAGGTCTCTGCAGGGTAACGCTGTCAGACACTTTCTACTAAATTCAAGGTCCAAGAAAAAAACATGAATATTTTACACTTCTTATTGTTAGCTTTGTTGCTGAAAATTCACCTTAATGTCCAATAAAACATTATTTCTTTACACTTGTTTTAATGGGCCAAATATATGAATAGTGGGAAGAGGTACATTCACTGTCGTCAGATTTTTTTATTTAAAAAAAAAAAAAATTTAACACAGTCGGTCAGCCTATAGGCGAGCTACCAGTAGCTCCCAGGCTACCTGTTGGAGACCCCTTTTCAGTTCAGAGACAAAAACAAACTTCTAGTAGACTGACTTTATTTTGTTGCAGACGTTACAGACAGTTTCACCGCTGTAGGCTGAAAAATAACACAAATATATGTCCCAGTTAAAAGACCCCAAACAACATGTAGTCACCTCTAATTGTTCTCTGCTGTGGTTTCCCTCAGAGGGTTGGGGCCGCTCCGTCTGGGGTCCGAACGTTCAGGAGTTCCGGCAGCGTTTCGACACGGCGGAGACGAAGGGCGAGGGCACGCGGAGGCTGAAGAACCTGTACTTCCTGTACCTGATCGAGCTGCGGGCGCTCTACAAGGTGGCGCCGTACTTCGAGCGGGCCTTCGTCAACCTGTACACAGGGAACGTGCAGGAGGACTCGGCCACCAAGGAGCTGCTGCTGCAGATCTTCAACGAGATCAGGTGCGACACCGCGGCCCTGCGTTTGTTTGTTTATGTATTCATAAACCTGTGTGAGGTCAGACTAACCTCTCTTTGGTCTTCCAGAGCGTTCCCGATGCACTTTGACGAGAAGTCGATGTTCGCCGGACACAAGACGGAAGCAAAAATATTAAAAGTGAGAACAAACCTCAAACGTCTCGTCTGAGGTCATGAAGAGTTTGAAAACGTGTCTGTGTCATCACAGCTTGATCGACTTCCTATTAAAAAGACGCTCGTTTGTTTTCTTTGACGTTTCAGGAGGAATTCCGTCTCCATTTTAAAAACATCTCCAGGATCATGGACTGCGTCGGCTGCAGTAAATGTCGCCTGTGGGGGAAAATGCAGGTAAGTCTCTACACCTTTAATAAAAAGCTCTTTTGACTTAATCAGAGCGAGAGGGCGGAGCTCTACGCTGACTGTTTGTCAACAGAAGAGGTCTGTTTGTGCTTTAAAGACAAAGAGGGGGCGATCAGTGGGGGCGGGGAACATCCAGCTCAACCTCCTGTCTCTCCTTCGTTGTTTTCTTGGATTGGTCGGTCTCAGGACGCCACTCTCTCACAAGCAGCCTCCGTCACAGTGGATGAGCTGGACGAGGAAGAAGTGGACCTACATCCTTGAGAGATTAAATTTGAAGCAAATGTCAAAGAGCATAAAAAAAATGTGGCGCCCTCTGGTGGTCAGGGAGAGCATTGCACAATGTTTTGGGCAGCAGAGTAAAAGGCTTAGTCCTGGGGGGGTTTGGCAAAATTAGAGCGAGGAGGTCAGAGGTTTCCTGTGAGGGTTTGTGAGGTGAGCAGTTCTTTGAAGTAGGGAGGGGCTTCACCGTATACGAGTTGATGGCTTAGTAGCATTTATTTTGGTAGAGTCGGTCGTCTCTCAACCAGAAGGTCGGTGGTTTGATCCCCAGCGCCTTCAGATGAAAAACATGACGTGCTGTCACAATGGGAACCTGCATTTAAGGCGTTAAATTCAAATATCAATGTAAGTCTCTGTTCTGTCCCAGTCATTGGGATGGACCAATCGTACAAGTGGGCGGCCCGGGCCCATAACGCCATGCCTGCATTAACATTAATGTCATGTAAAATATTTCCGTCTGTATTAATTCTGCAAACGGGTTTCTTGTGTTTCCCTCATGTCGTGTGCAGACTCAGGGTCTGGGTACGGCCCTGAAGATCCTGTTCTCTGAGAAGGAGATCCAGAACCTCCCAGAGCACAGCCCCTCCAAAGGTTTCCAGCTGACCCGGCCGGAGATCGTCGCCTTAATAAACGGCTTCGCCCGGTACGTTAGCTGCTCTTTGTCTGATTGACTGGCAAACCCTTAAATGTATATTTAAATATGTCACCAGAAAATGGCTCTGCAGCTGGTGGCGCCCCCTGTTGGGCGATATACTTAAATAAATGTCTGTAATTTCTCTTTTCTCTCCCTCTCTCTCTCTCTCCGTCAGGCTGTCCACCAGCATACATCAGCTGCACAACTTCCGCCTGCTGCTGAAGGAGAATAGGTAACAGGAGGTGATGCCTCACCTGGCCAGTAGGCGGAGTAGCCAGCCCACAGAGAACTGCAACGAGGAGTAATCCTCGCCCAGAAGAAGAACTTTTTCATGGACACCAAGATCAGAATAAAAGGAAAAAAACCTCAAAATGCTTTCTCTAATCCCAACAACCCTCTCCTCCTCCTCCTCATCTTCTTCCTCCTCATCTTCCTCCTCTCCTCATCTTCCTCCTTCTCCTCCTCTTCCTCCTTCTCCTCCTCTTCCTCTTCTTCCTCTTCCTCCTCTCCTCATCTTCCTCCTCCTCCTCGGTCTGTTAGATCATGAATGTTAACTCTTCTGCCGTCTCTTGCCTTCGTCAGAAAACTCTCCAGGTTCTGAAAAACTTCTCCTGGTGTTTTTTCCCTCCATGCCAGAGACACATTTTTGACCTTTCCTGTCAAAATGAACGGTCGCCATTTTAGACAAAACCCTAAAAGGAAGTGCTTAAATATCTGGAAGGAAGTGATGTCACGGACCAAACTGCGACTGATCCAAGTTTGGTCACAGACCCACTTTATGTTTGTGACTGAGTTTGATCGAATCAAGTCGAGGAACATTTTTGAAAATCTTCTCCACGTTCCATTTCTCTTTCTTGCTGGCCCCGCCCCCCTGCTGACATCACATCCTGTTGGATTCTACACACTTGTGAACCTGATTTAGAGACTATTTTGCGCTTATAAGACCACTCAGACGGAACTGACACAGTCTGCTGCTGCCTAATTTTGTTTTTGTTGTTGTTTTGTTTTTTTGGGGTGTCCTCCTCGCTCTAGTTTTCTTCGTCTGCTGTCTTAAGAGAATTTTGTCGCTTGAAGTCTGAGGATCGGCACCAACCTTCTCATGGTCGCCATCTCAGGCCTAATTTATGACGGCTTCCTACAAGGTGTGCGAGTTACTTTGTGTATGTGAGAGAAACTCCCAAACACAGGCGTTGCTGGTCTACCAGTGCCTCCCAAACACACGAGTTGCTGGTCTACCGCCGCCTCAGTCCTCAAGTTTGTTTGTGTTTATGTCTGACCTTGAAGATTTAAACGCAGAATCAAAATAATTCAGTCAGTCACATTGTGTTGCACACATTAACTTAAAACAAGAAACTTCGATCCTAGACGTTGAAGCAGTGGTAGACCAGCAACTCCTTTATTTTGAAATTTTAAAAAGACTGTTTTTGTGTTGACTGTACTTAACAGAAAGACCTTTTCGTTGAAGAGTAAGAAGCTTTTCGTAGACACCAGGCTCCATTGACAAAAACGGTAATGTAACCTTAAGTTGCTGATCTGCTCGTAACGGTTCATTTTTTGTATTATTTAGGTTAGCATAGAGGACATTAAGTTCATGATCTACACCTTAGATTTCAAGTTATATCTTGTTGCAAAAAGAGGCTGTGTATGAGATGTCGAAGTAGCCACCAGAAGTGACCATATTTGGAAAAGAGGGAGGAGCTTGAGAATGACAGTTGTGAGGCTAGTTATCGCCATGGTAGCGAGCTGTCAATCAAAGCAGGTGGCAGGTTTCATTTGCCGTCTATATTTATTTTAGAACCAGAAGTGACCGTATTTGGACAAGAGGGCGGAGCCAGAGAGGAGCGAACTATAGAGGGCCGCCTGTCTTCTCTACATATATATATATATATGAGAGAGAGAGTCTATAGCTGATGTTAGCACCTAGTGGCTGTTAGAGGAACTGCAGGTTTGGGATATTTTCTTTTCCTTTGGTGTTCAGCCGTGGTGTCCGCAGCTTTAACATTTGTTTATATAAGATTATATTTAAGAAGTTTATGATAAACGCCTCGGCAGGAGTACAGACGCGTCACATTTTGACGTTTTATTTGACTCTCTGCTGAAGTTTGACGTGGACCAAAGATTTTTACGTTGCCTTTTTTTTGTGAGTATTTTTGTGATGCCGAGGAGGCGTTTCATTTGTTCTTAATCATTCTCAGTTCTGCAGTTTGAAGACGTGATTTCACTTTAAGTTGTATTTGTTGAAGCTTGCCATGCTGTCTAAACGAGGTTTCCACGGTTACATCAACGTTAAACAGTAGAAAAGTCTGTAATTTAAAAAAATAAATGAGTTTAAATTTCATGATAAATAATGTTTTTCGTACAATATTAATAACAGTTTCCTTGAAATCAACTCACACATCAAAAGTCACATATTCTGTAAAATCCACTTCCCCATGTTTCTCGAACACTAACATGTGTCTCTAGTCTACAAACCCCCCAATGATGAGAAAAGTCCATCCTCTCCGTCTTCTGCCTGCTCCACTTTTCAGAAAATGTGTGCTCAAACAGGCCGTTTGGAGATTTTCCCTTCATGACATCACAAAGGGCAGTAGCCCCTCCCCCAGGTGGGTGACACTCCCACAGCTAGGTGTTTGTTCTGCTCTCTGAGTCTGCCTTCTCACCGTAAACAATAGGACATGGAGCGAGAAACCCTGAGATTCTCAAGCCCTTCCAGAGAGTGGGCGTGGTCAGACACCGCTCATTTACATATTTAAAGTTACAGAAACAGCCTGTTCTGAGCAGGGCTGAAATAGAGGGGTTTATAGACATGATCAAATACAGGATCAGAGTGGATTTAGAACAAGAAACTTCACACACATGTTTTGTGGAGCTCTGAGAGATATTTAAACTGGCTGAAGAGGAGGAGAATATGTGACCTTTAAAGAATTTTTAAAATTTGAACTTTCATAAACGATGCAGCTTAAAATTAATTTTGGTGGAACCTCTCCGCCTCCATCCGAGAGTGCAAGTTTTTAAGATCAAAATATAAAAGTTTATCCTCTTTGTTTCTTTTTGTGTGAGGTGTTCAGAAAGTGTGTGTGTGTATATGAGTGTGTGTGTGAGAGATGAATGCATAAGTCCTCTGAGCCTTGCATGCCCTCCAGCAGCCGGATGTCGTTCATCGTCCGCTCGTCAGCCTTAAAACTAACAACCGCTATTTTCAAACAAAAAAAGACAAAACTTAAAAAAAAATAAAATAAATAGGAAACTGCTTCAGAGAGTTTTCTCACTCCTCATGTTGAATCTGTAAAGTTTGTAAAAGGCAGCACACGTTTTCTCTGTTTTTCTCTCAGATCTTTATGAATATAAATAGTTGCACCATGTCGATGTGTGTACCTGTTGATTCTATTTATTTGACAAGAGGAATAAATATTTCTGAACATTACTGAAATCTGGTTTTCTTCTTTCACGACCTTCAATATCCTACAAATGCATCGCAAAACACAGCCTTTTTCCATCTCAGAAACATCGCCCGCCTCTGTCCCTCCCTCTCCTTTCCAGCCTCTGAGACCCTCACCCACACATTCATTACCTCTAGACTGGACTACTGCGGCAGTCTCATCTACGGTTCATCTTTCAAAACACACAAGAAACATTTCCAGAACTCTGCTGCTCGTCTCCTCACACACTCCCTGACCACATCACCCCCATCCCTCATGACCTCCACTGGCTCTACTGGCTCAGAAATGTAGAGATGTATACCATTCTCATGTATCAGAAACCACAATGTCAGGAAGTGCTTTTATTTTGAAGGTACACAAACTGAAGTTTGGTGCTTTTATTTTGAAGTTGGACAAACTGAAGTGTGGTGCTTTTATTTTGAAGGTAGACAAACTGAAGTGTGGTGCTTTTATTTTGAAGGTGAACAAACTAGTGTGGTGCTTTTATTTTGAAAGTGGACAAACTGAAGTTCGGCGCTTTTATTTTGTCGGTGGACAAACTGAAGTGTGGTGCTTTTATTTTGACGGTGGACAAACTGAAATGTGGTGCAGCCCAGACTTTCAAACTAAGAGGAATGAAAATTAGCTAAATAGTTTGTGAAGGTTACATGATGAAGGAAAGAACACGTTTGTTGTCACGACATCAGAACACGTTTTTTTATTTGAGGTGTTACTTTTTGTGTGGGCAAGTCACAAACGCACAAATGAGGCACAATAAATAAATAAATACACAATGTGAGAGTGTGCAGCTTTACAAATATCTTACAAAACCTGCGTCAGTTACAAATATAGAGTTTTTCTTTTTAAGCAAACTTCAACACTGGGTTTAGGACCGAATGGTTCTGGGGACTTCTTGAAGAGGAACTCTCCAGTTCCCTGAGAACTACACATCACGGGGACTTTATTTATGTCTGCATTCTCATCGCCATGGTGAGGCTATAGTCATCATTGCCACAGCCTTGGGTTCGAATCCGACATCAGCCCTTTGCTGCATGTCGTCCCCTTCTCTGTCTCATCCTTACATTTCCTCTCTTCAGCTGTCCTATCAAAATAAAAGCAAGCAGCCTAAATAATTATAATAAATAAAATCTGGAAATCAAAAATAATTTCACAATAAAAAAATAAGTTTGCCATTTTTTCAGACGAGTCCCAACCGAAACCAAAACAGTACATGTTTTAATTTATAATCTAAGTTATAATGACACAGAGGTCTTCAGCTGTCTGTTTTTCATATACATGTATATATTTACAGAATATCCATCCAGTGAAATCACAACGTGCACAAGTCTCAAACACTTGGACTTCTGTTCCAGTCAAGAACCGAGGAGTTTTCCAAGAATTTAAAGCTTCAGTTTAAAGTTACATAATCTCATAAAATTCTTATTTAAAGGTATCAGATTGTGAAATGTGGGCCTTCTCAGAAGAAACCTTAAAATCCACATTCAACATCTTCAGTCTTGGTTCGCGGAGTTTGGAGAGAAAATTTCTAAAAGTGCCACATTAATTAAATCATCTGAGTCATCTCCTCGACCAATCAGGAAACATTCATCACAACATCGTCGACAGACTGCAGGTCAATAAAACATCTGTGAGGCAGAGCTCCCGCACAGTCATTCTGAAGAAAGTCCGGATATTTACTGGATCTACTTTGATTTATTTTATTACAGAGAAATCATCAAAACTCTTGGCAAGTCTTTTTTAGGGCTTTAAAGGTCGCATATCCTCCTCCTCTTCAACCGGTTTAAATAAGTCTCAGAACTCCTCAAAACATGTGTGTGAAGTTTCTTGTTCTAAATCCACTCTGATCCTGTATTTGATCATGCCTATAAACCCCTCTATTTCAGCCCTGCTCAGAACAGGCTGTTTCTGTGTCTGTACTTTTAAATATGTAAATGAGCTGTGTCTGACCACGCCCCCTCTCTGGAAGGGCTTGGGTGTCTCGGGCTTTCTCACTCCATGTCCTATTGTTTACGGTGAGAAGGCAGACTCAGAGAGCAGAACAAACACCTAGCTGTGGGAGTGTCATCCACCTGGGGGAGGGGCTACTGCCCTTTGTGATGTCATGAAGGGAAAATCTCCAAACGACCTGTTTGAGCACACATTTTCTGAAAAGTGGAGCAGGCTAAAGATGGAGAGGACAGACTTTTCTCATCATTGGGGGGTTTGTAGACAGACTAGAGACACATGTTAGAGTTAGAGAAACATGGTGAAGTGTGTTTTACAGAATATGTGACCTTTAATAACCCTCAGATTTGGTTCCCACATTCATGATTCCCTCAGGATGAATTGAAAATGTCTTTGGTCATCCTCTGATGCTTTAAAGGAGCAATATGTAACTCTGACACCTAGTGGTTAAAATGGGTACTGCAGTCTAAATTCTAAACATTGTAGAGAGCTGTCCCCGCCCCCTCCTCTCTAGAGTCCATGCTCACGCAGGTTGCTATGTGGTGGACACTGAAGCTTCAGTGTTTAGCCAGCTCTGCATCGGTCTGTAAACCTTTCTATGTTCTAACCTCATTTTAACATGAGGCTCTATGGGGACTGACTCACTGCAGGAGACAGCCTCTAGTGGACACTTGAGGAACTGCAGTTTTGACCTACTTGTTATGTAACCAACATGACAGAAACTTTGTATAAAACCTGGTGATTAATTCAGATATTCTACAAACGTTAACTGACTCGTATGGGAGCTCTGCTACAAACTTTTACATCAGTGGTGATAAGAAACACAATAAATAACTCATCGGTGTGTCAAAGTGCAGAAGTGGTGCTGTACAGTGAAGAGAGAGGGATTATGGGTAAGGGTGGAGCTCTCCCGCGGTGGCGGTCGTCAGGCGCTGTTCGTCCCCGTTGGTGTGCACGGTGAAGCTGCTGTGACGGCTGCCCCAGTCGTAACAATCAGAGGAGAGACTGCAGAGAGAAGGGAGACTGTAAATGTACTTTTCGATACCACATGTTTTAAGACGAGACACTCTCTGATATTTTAATGTCCGATAGTATCGTGAAGAAACAAAACTTTCAAAATACGTCGGATCTTCATTCACTTTTTGAATCAAAGAGAAACAGAGCAGCCATGGTCTGATTCCAGTTCATGCTCTTCTTACACCAAACACCTTTCCAAGCTGTTTCAAAGTCTCAGAAAAATTAAAAAAGTCAGAATAAAATCTTGAGTCTTGCTCGAGGTTTGGCTGCACTCCCGTGACCTCTGTGGTTTGGTGTAAGGTGGTCATTAAACTCACCTTGAGCGGTTGTAAGGCAGTCTGCTTCTCGTCTAATACAGCTTAAAGCTAGCTGTTGTTAGCTTAGCTTAACTGAAAGTCTGACTGTTCAACACACTTGACCCTAGTTAATATGAATAAATGTGTAACTGCTTCGACATCACAACAGGGTCACGGTAAGTCGAGAATGGTTTTCATACCTTGCTGATGCATTCTGGGGAGGGATGCTCCACGCCAGGTCGTCGTCACTGTCGTATCGACGAGGGTTGTCAAAGAAATATCCTCTGGATGAGAGGACGTGGTTTGGGATCCCAGCAGTGCTCTGCGGAGGACAAGAGTCATCGTCAGTGAAGATATAAGGAGGTGGAGTGAAGCCTCGACTTGGGTGACCTGACTCACCCTTTCCTGAGGCGGCCGTCTGACCCTGAAGAAGAAGACGACCAGCGAGGTGGGCAGGAGCTCCCAGACGAACAGAATCACCCCGAACACGATGTAACCGGCGTCTCCCAGCGACGACCGCAAGTCCGCCTGGAGGTAAGACGACGAATCATTGGTCAAGACATTTTCAAACCCCCTGTTAATAACCATCTTTAAACCGAAAATAAGACGTCACCTGGTCAGAGACGTTGTACCAGTCATAGTCGAAGGAGTTGATGGTCTCGATGTCGGTGAGGGCGAGCACCACGAGGTTGTAACACGCCCGAGACGAGTACAGCAGCACCACCATGATGCCAATCAGAGTCACCTGACACACCGACGTCCCCTGAACACAAGAATGAAATATCAGTATCGACAGGAGAAACTCTCCTCACTCTTGTTTTGTTTTCAGCAGTGGACCGTCCGTTTTTTAGTTCTTTTTCAAGAAGTGAACTTCAAAATCTTCTTCACTGCTTGCTCACTCTGCGTGATGAGTACGAGACATTACTGCCTCATACTGCAAACTTTTCCAATACATCGAAAAATAAACCCATCGGACTCAGTGTGCGAGGTGTCTGTGCGTAAAGTTTTTTAATGGATTACAGTAGTTTTGTAGTACTTGAAATAGACCGGTCTGGAGACCACTTTTTGAAAGGTCTTGTCTCGGTCTCAGACTGGACGGACTCTGGATTTTAAATCTATACCACCACCGATCGGTTATTTTCACAAGTCATCACTGTGATTAGAAGGAAAACACCTCTTTCTAAAAGAACAAATAGCTTCAATTCATGCTTCAAAAAAACGGACTGGGTGTGTAAAGGACCAAATCACAGGAAAAACAGTTTCTTTTCCAGGTTCATACCGCTGAAGTAACCCAGAATGTGTAACTTACTATTTAAAGTTAATTTGAGACTCCCAGGAAACAGATGAGTGGGCTCCTCTGGGAGATGTAAAGAACCGAGAAATGACAGTTAATTTTACTCCTTTCACTTTTGATCTGAACAACCCTTCTAAAGGTGTTTATTGGACTGTAAACGATGCAGCACATGGAACAGGAAGTCATGGCTGGAAGTCTTAAGGCGAACCGCTGGTCTTGGGGTTCCCAGAGATCTACATCGTCTTCAGTTTCAAAATTGGATAATTAGAAAAAGCACTGGGTTATATTGGTGAAAATGGTGCCAAATCTGCACATCCTCATTAGGTGCCATGTGGGCCCTCGATAAGGTTTAGACTGTCCCTTCCCATGTTGGAAATCTTTATATAAACCGGGGACTTTACCTTCGACTCCAGGTAGATGTTGGCCAGCGACATCTTGGCCACCTTGTAGAGGCAGACGGACAGCGAGATGGCGCAGAGGACAAACAGGCTGTCATTGATGGTGACCCTCACCAGGACAATGGTCTTGACGTCCGCAGCGGTCGTTTTGACCAGCAGCGCACAGACAAGATTAACCACCAGGAAGAGGAGACTGACGGCCAAGAAAACCAGGTACAGAGGAAGTCTGCAGGTGAGGAGGCGGAGAGAAAGCCACTAAGACCAAAACAAGTCGTCTCTTTGAAAGAGCAATAGTTACACCTTTGTGTTTCATTGGATTTTTGCTTGCCCTTCGTTGGAGTTGAACAGAGGACATTCTGTACATTAACTTTTTGGTGAATTGTTTGATGGAGTGGAGTTACCTGTACTTGAGCAGGGCAGGTGAGTACTTGGACTTTGCCTTGAAGTAGACCTGTTAAGGGATGAAAAAGGATGGATTTACACAGTTTTACAGACTTTATCGGTCTCATACCTCTCGTACTTTTGCTTATTTATTCTCCCCATATTAATGATTGATCTTAAATGTTGTTCCCTGTTTTCTCCTGCCTCCCTCAATAGTCTACAATTGATCCATAATGCTGCTGCAAGTCTGCTGACCAGGTCAACTCACATTACTACAATTTTATTTTCTTTCAAACTCTGTTCAGCTGATGAGTCTAAAGTAATATCCACCTTATGACATCACAAATTGACCTTTGTAACCGTTCCTTTGAGCTGTTTGATTTCAGTTTTGGATCTCTTACCACTTCCTGTTTCTGTGCTGAACTTCCTGTCCTAACCTTCCAGCTACCAGACAGGCCTTACTTTATTTCAAAATAAAAGCACACAGCAAGTAAAGTACTCTCAGGTTAAAACAACTTTCCCTTCACCTTCAAGTCAGTTTGTTTAAAACAACTAGAGTGTTGGAGAGTGATGGTTCTGAAGCTTTGAAGACAAACCACAACAACACAGCTCAGGTTGTGGGAACTTGTCTACCCCCGTTCCGTGCCAGAAGCCCAGGAGGCCTTGTCCAGGCAGCAGAGCCCAAGCTCTCGAGTAGACAAACTCCCCCAACCTTCAGCGAGGTGATCAGGCACTACTGCCACCCCACGTCCCTGACCCCCAACCACCACCATTGGACTGTATCGTCCCCACAACCACCGCCGTCCTCATTCATGCACGGCCTGCTCTGACCTCAACCTCAGCAACGAGGGAGTGTGGACAACAGGAGAAATCCTTCCTGCATCTTATCCCATATACTCTTTTGTAAAGCGCCTTCGAGATAACTTAAGAACTAAACAAGCACAGGTCCATTTACCATCTACCATTTGCGACCTACCAGACAATTCTTTTCCCATTTAAACCAGCTCTCATGTTGGTTTCTAAGCTTTGAAGTAAAAACCACGACAACACAGCTCAGGTTGTGGACACTTTGCCAAAGTTCTCCAGAACCAGAACACGTCTCATAGCAGCTCCTCATCCCTTTAGTTCCCCCTTTTAGACTGAAGATGATCCATTAAGGGAATGAGCTCTGCATCATCGCAGCTCTCAGGAACAAGAGGTTGAAAGCTGCCTGTTAAGAGTCTCATTTCTGCTCTATTTTCTGAATCCTCCTGCTGCTGATCATGAATAGGTGACGAAGAGAGGCAGCTGCTGCATTGATAACCCCAAAAAACCTGACGTTATGAGCAACACAAAAAAACAGTTTTCACTTCATCTTCCCATTTTACCCCCAAACAAAGCCCACCAAATTAACAGAAAGACTTCTGGGCCATCTTGTCTGGGAACGAGATCATTCAAAGCCTCGAGTGTACAACAGAAATTAATCACAAATAACTCTCGGGAGCTAGGCTTTCAAGCTCAGAGTAAACCTGAGGAAGCCACTATGAGTGTATACATCTAAATCAGACCCAAACTGGCATTGGCGTTCTGAGCTTGCTCCACAGTTCTTGCACCGGGCTTTGACCCGGAAGTCTAACAGCATAAATGTTTCTCCGCTTTCTAATCCATGTAGCTAATGAGCCTCAGAGCTAAGAGTATCTCCTTTCCTGAGCTAACCTATTAATCTCGGTTCTCCAGCCAGTCTAATTTAGCACGAGGACGAGTTAATCAAAGGTCCGAGTCAGGCTGATGCATCTTTGTAGAAGCATTTTTTTTGAGTGACTTTTTACGGAAGCCGTGAGACACTCATTCATATTCATAAAATGTATTAATGAATGTCCTCTGAGGGATTCCGCATCTTTGGAATCCATTCGAGCTGCAATTGGCTTTCAAGGCAGAAAATCAAACGGATTTCTTGTCGCAGTTGAACAAATTCAACTTGCGCTAAAATGCTCATTTGCATGATTTGTGTCCTCTGGGCCGAATTTGTGCCTTTGCTTTGATTTTAAATTGTACAACATGAAAGTCTCTTTGGTCTCTACTGCCCTCTCCGGTCGATTGTTGCATAACTGGTGGGCGTGGCCAGACATGTTCTCTGTAGCCACACCCATCAGTGATGGCACAGTGCACTGACACGCCCCACAGTACCGTCCTTCATCACAGCAGCAGAGAGAGAAGTAAAAAGCTGCTCTGTTTGGGAAAATGTGGACCAGACTTTGTACCACCAGCAGTCACTGCTCTATCAGTACCTGTAGCAGCCCCCCCCCTCCCCCTCCCCCTCCCCCTCACCTGTGCACAGTAGAGGTTCATGAGGCTGAGTGTGAAGAACTGCAGGCAGACGGGGAAGCAGTAGAGCAGCCAGAAGGCGAAGGGTCCGAGCGCGTTGGCGGTGACACAGTCTCTGAAGTAGAAGGAGAAGAGGAGGGCGCGCAGGGCGGCCCACAGCAGACACAGGAACAGGAAGGCCGTCTGGTAGCTGAAACGCTTGTGCCGGTACCGCAGCACCAACCAGAGCTGGGCGTAGACGAAGGCGAAGAGCAGCGAGTAGAAGATGGTGTAGGCGATGGTCAGACCCAGCTTCACGTAGGGGGGGATAGCCGGCGTGATGGTGGGAGGGGGAGGGAGGTGCGAGCCGTTACCGGCATGCTGCTGCTGCTCCTGTGCCGGGCTCCCCTCCATCGCCTCCCCATTCATCCCCCCGAGTGTTCCCTTAGAGAGGGAGGCAAGGGAGGGAGGAGGGGGGGTTAGAGACGGAGCCGCAGATCTCTGAGTGAAGAAGAAGAAGAAGAAAAACGTGTGCAAGCTCGTTGGACGGATCCTTCACATCCATCGACTCTCCTCCAGACACACCGTCTGACGCACGCAGAGGTGAGGAGAGGAGAGGAGAGGAGAGGAGAGGGCAGGGGAGGGGGAGAGACAACTCCTCTCTTTTTGCCGGTGCCTGGTGGAGAGCCATTGGTGGCTGCACTTCACATGATCATATCCCGAGCAGGCGATTGGCTGAGCAAGAGGAGGGATGCTGCAGAGAGGAGAGGAAGGAGGAGAGATGGATCTAGAAGGAGAGAGATGAACATGGTACCCAACACACACACACACACACACACACACACACACACACACACACACACACACACATTTTTTAAGTCAATGTGTTTCAAGGCGTTTATGATTTTCTGTAACTCGTGACACAAACAAAAGTTTAGTGTGAATTGATTCTCTCATGAATGTTAAAGAAATCCTTGACCGAGGGAAAGATGTTGAAACATATACTTTTTAAAAATGTTGATTTTTTTTTTCTGTTAAATGCTTTAAATAGTGTTGTAGTACTCAAGACCATTTCTTTAGGGGCCCCTGTCTCGGATTTGTCTCGGTCTCAGACTGGGTGGACTCAGATGGGTCAAGACCACCTCTGATCGGCTATTTTTCCAAATCATTACTGAGATTAGAAGGAAAACGCCTCTTTTTAAAAGAACAAAATACTTTTTATATCATTATATATTATATCATATCATCATATCATTTGTTGTTTGATTTTTATCTTCCGGTTACGGCCGCAACCTTCCCGGCGTTACGGTCTAAGTAAGTGACACGCCCCCTAAAAACGAGATGATGATTTTCAGAGATATATATGGTCTTGGTCTTGGTCTTGTCTCGGAGCACTCTGGTCTCGGGTATGTCTTGGACTTGATTGAGCTGTAAAAAGTTATGAGACATCCAAGCTTTAATATCTAAAATACAATCGTTAAAAAGTGTAAGTTGACATGTAGTCGTCTTTACTTCAAGTTTTCAGGTTTCTGTGTCATTTAAAAATAATATTTTGGGGATTCTGAGAATTGCTTTTAGTATATTTGGATTTGTTCAAATTAATGTGACCTTTCAAAATAAAGTCTTTTTGCCCATTTAGCAATTTGACACCGACTTCACTGAACGCTGCTCAATCGTCCCACCCTGAGCGTGACCTCCGTGAGAATATGGTCCATCAGAAGCAGCATTCACATATCTACTCACCGCTGAAAACAGTCTGCGTAAAGTCAAGGTCGTCAAATTTGGATGCTGGGCTACAGATCAAATGTTTTATCACTGATCAATAGTCCTCAATAGTTCTGTCATTTCAGCTGTTTAGGGGATGAAACTTCCTTCTTTACGTTGAACACCAAATTACTCCGAAGAGTCCCGGTTTAGTTCAGTACAGTTCAGAACAGTTCGGTTCGGTAAACTCTGAACTTGCTTGCGTTTCCACAGCCAACTGTACCCTTATTATGTAAACGGAGTGTAAGCCAGATGGAGATAGCCGCATCAGCTATGTAACAGTGTGAAATCATAGCAGCCCAACACAGTATAGCCCACTATTAATTAAGTTAAGGATAACAGGGACACACTAAACAAGGGACCCATTAGGATCGGTTTGCTACCCTTGGCACCCCAACGGAAGGGTACCAAAAAAGTAGGACGGTACGGATCCCTTTGGTACTATTCCTAACTTTTGACGGTGGAAACAGCATTAAATGGGTACCGTTCCAAACCGAACTGAACCGGACCAGACTGCTTTGTGGAAAGTTGTGTTAAGAGTTAAATGTTTGTTGTTAACTGCCCTGCCTGAATCACCAGTTGTGTGTTGAGTGCTGTACTGTGAGCGTCAGTGAGAGTCTAGTTAGTACTGGAACTATATTTGGATCTGCTATGGCATGTGCTCTGCTGCGACAGCACCGCGCGCAGCTATTGATGCTCTAAATAAGCTTCAACGCTGACTGGCCTATTTTATTGTGTTTCTTCTGTTTGTTTATAGTATGTATTAGCATGTCGTATCTTCAATGACTTTTAGGAGATGACCTTCTTTTGTTGCAAGAATATTTATTGAACAAATAGTTCATCAGTGAGTACTGAGGTCTGCAGAGTCCAGAACTGAATAATACACACACAAATACATTTTCATATCATTATGATTTTCCTCCCCGTGGTGGATCCTATTAACACTCTTCTCCAACCAAATCCCAACTTCCTGTTTTAACATGAGCATTAATATCATCCCTCATATTCATAATCCAATGGTTAGGTTTTCCCCGCCTCTGATAAACTGATACATTACTCCTCAATCTGAATACCACATCGTCGTAATGATTAAATACAACACAGGATGAATCCATCAGAAACTGGACAACTGAATGACTTTGTTATTGCCTCCCTTTCTTCTGTGAGCAGGTCCGCCTGCCCTGAGCTCCCTGTCCTCAGTGAACTCAGCATCAGATCTCAAATGATGTTATATTTATATGCATATGTGTTATTGTAAAAGTCGTCACATTACTTAATATCATTACCAAACAAGCGTTTCCTCACTTTAAAGGAGACATATCATTAAAAATACACTTCTACAGTGTTTTTGAACATGTTTGGGTAACCTGAGAGTCTACAGACCCACAAAATGTGAAATAAACCCATCCAGTCCTTTGTTTGTGGTCTGCATAAGTCTTACAACTCAGAAAAAATGCTCCGTTTCAAATGTGCTCTCCTTGTGATGTCACAGTGGGATTCTGATAAAACAAATAAATCCCCTCCCCTGATATCTCCACCCATGGACTCCACCCCAGACTAGAACAAAACTTTTGAGCAGGTCGGCCATTTTTATTCTCACTACAGAGGAGTAGTGTCTACGGGGAAAACTCAGGGGGCGGGGGGGTCATTGCATTTAAAGAGACACACACACCAAAACAGAGCATTCAGAGAGAGCTGGTTTATACAGGGTCACAAACCTCCTCTGATGCTTGATTCATGTTATATTTTGACCAAAGCACAGCGGCCCTTTGGGGCGAACAACAAACCACAAATTGACCCAGTAAAACACACTATACACCTTACCAAAGAGATTAAACAAAGATCAACTCAAAACGAATGTAACTAAACACAACAACACACAATCCCTGGCTGACAGGCACAGCAGTCGGAATAAATCAACCTGATCCAGACACAGACTTTTAAAGTGATCACATCCTGATGAGTGACTCATAATCAGACCTACATCATCCAGTCGAATATTATTCACACAAGTTAAACCAATATTTACAAAAACTTTAAGAGAGAAAATGTCACAGAGCAGACTGAAAGGTGACTGGAGAGCTCCTTTCAGAACAAAAGAACATTTTCAGGAATAAAGACGCTTGTTTAGTTAAAGAAATGATGAATAAATACATATGTATAAGCTGCTAAATAAAAGAAAACCATCTCCTAAACTCTCTGCTCCATGCTGTTGTTAACTTCCTGCTGCTGAAGGTCAATGTTTCCACTTCCCCCACATCCTCCACAGCCTCGCTCTCCACAGTGAGTCCTGCATCTGGTTCAACTGCATCTGGAGAAAATCACATCAAACTAAAGTTATAGTTGTAACTGTGACTCTGAATGTGAAGTGGGCCTGTTTGATTCAGAGCAGGAGGCTCTAACCTGACTGGACTTCACAGCATGTGTTCCTGCTCCTCTGTGTCTTCTGTCTGTGCTGCAGTGACGGCTGACACGTTCTCATACACAACATCCACCTGATGACAGACGATAAGATTTGATCAGAAATATGTTTCATCAGGTTTTACAGTGATGTAGGAAAAGATTGATTAGTAAGGTCTCTCTCTCTCTCTCTCTCTCTCTCTCTCTCTCTCTCTCTCTCTCTCTCTCTGTAGATGGATTTATCAGAAAACAACAAATCTGAAAATTAACATGAACAAAATAAGTTTTAAGAAGAAAATAAAAGAGATGTGTGCTGACAGATGAATTTGTATGGTGTTTACCTCGTCCACAGAGTCAGGAGAAACAGAGAAATCAACATCAAGAGCAGCAGAGTCCACTTGATGATATTTATTATGAATGTTGAGTTCCCTGAGAATTAAAGATAGATATGTGAGACTCTTTACTGGTAGGATTAGATTGAAACATTTCATTTCTACTTTGTGGTACCCTCTGTTCATCATTCAGATAGTTTCTGTGAGTCATGACTGTCTACAATGGGTGTAACACCCGAGTCCCACTGTCTGTGATGTTTTCAGAGTCCTATCTTCAGTTTGTTTACATCGCCTGGACGGCCGGCTGACTCCCCTTGTGTATAAAAGTTGTTTAATTGAGGGACTAGAGAAAAGAAGAATAACATACTGTACTCACTGCTTAACTGTGTTTCTAGATCACGCTCATTTCAGGTAAATTTACATGCAGTGTGAAGATACCAGCATAATAAAGATCACTAGCATGAAATGAAATGTAGCTAACACAAAACATATAAATCTTCTTAGCTGGATTCTTTAAGGACTCAAAAACGAAGATGTTCAAAGATTGCATGCAAAGTCTTGTACGCTGTCTTACGGCACACTCACACAAGGCCCAGTTGTCCCCGCTGGTCTGAAAAGTACTCACACTGCTCCAGGACTAACTGAGCACGGTTACCTCTTGTACATAACGTCGTAAAACAACACATGCATGGCTTTATGTGATCATGAAGCGTGCTCAGTTTACAAGTTGCAACATTGCAAGTTAGAGAGTGTGCACAAGTTTTTCCTTGGGATATGTAGTTTGATTTTTATCCTCCGGTTACGGCCGCAACCTTCTCGGTGTTACGGTCTAAGTGAGTGACACGCCCCCTGAACACAAGAGGATGATTTTTCAGAGATATTTATGGTCTTAGTCTTGGTCTTGACTCGGTCTCGATCCCTAAATTTCTTGGTCTTGTCTCGGTCTCAGCGCGCTCTGGTCTCAGGTATGTCTTGGTATCGGTTAGTGTTGTCTTGACTACAACACCACAGCTTGATATTTAAAAGAATTCACAATTCTTCCTATGAGCTTCTTTGCTGCATTGTGAGGACTAAATGCGTCCCGACAGAGCATTAATATTATAAACTCAGACAGGATTCAGGGAACTTTTTCTTCTTCTTCTTGTTCTGAGTCTG